GTACAGCTCCTTCCCTCCACCCCCGGATTACACAAATCATTACAGCAGTTTTGTGTATAAAGGGAGGAGATTTAGGGGGTGGCAGGAGATGGGGGAATAACATTAGAAGCTGTGTAGCTCTGCTTACAAGTCTCTCACTGTTCCCTGAGCCGTGGAGGCACTATGTGGGGAGGATATTGCTACTTTATTCCTGTCTGATGGAAGCAGTGTAGCTTGGCATATAGGCTTTCCAGATCTGCCTTGATTCAAATATGAACATAACTAGCCATGCACGCTCTAGCCTTAAATACCTCCCTCCAATCTTCTAGTGGTCTGAGTTCTACTCTAATTTGAAGTGTTGGGGTCAAACCTTGAATCTAGCAAGTGCAAATATCAGTAAGGGTTCGTGGGCCGCACCAGTCACGGTGCTCTCTGTTCCACTGCGCTCTCTGACGCAATAAAAACGCACCGCCGCAGCTTCAGGCTGGGCCCTGAACGTATTCTGATTCTACTGCTTTTTGTATGAGTTTGGCTTTGAATGTTGAACTTGATGTGCTGAAAAAAAGATGTTGAAAGTATTACTTGTGCAGCTATTTTAAGAGTTGCTGTTTTTCAAACATAATGACTAATCTCTCTCTCTCTTTCTCTCTTTCACTATTTTTTTTAATATACAAGGAAAAAGAAAATCAGTCTCTTGTCATCAAAATGACTTCTCTTCAGGAAGAGGTAAAATAAATCACGGCTTTGCAAATATATATGTCCTTGTCTAGCTAAAAGCTCACCACTAAGAAATGAAATGTTTGTCAGACTTTGGAGCCTGAGCTGCTATTTAGGTTAATAAAATATTTTATGTTTTACGAGAATGACTTGTTATAAAACTTTATATCCTGAAATTGCACTGTGCTTCAGACTTTCCCTCAACCACCAATCCTTATTTGCCAAGCAAATGGAATGAGGGGGACAAACAAAACTGCTTTCTTCCACACTGCCTTCACTGCTTGATAGGCAAACTCCTAAATATTTCTAGTTAAAACAGCTCTAACTATATACTCTGTACTGAAAACAATCTCCACCTAATGCTTTTGTCTTTTCAGTTGAGATTCACTTCCATTTCCCTTCTCTGAGATCTAAATGAGGAGTTCTGCATAGAACTGTAACTCCAAAGAAACGTGGTGGCTGGGGGCTTCTCCATTCACATATAGATCCATTAGTATTGGGCAAGGATCTACAAGAGGCTTGGAGGGAAAATTGCTAATGGTACTTATAACAAACAGATTCAAAAATCTGTTATCACATAGCATAGTAGTCCCTGCTTATTGCATGTTAACCATATTCAAGATTAGTCTTTCTAAAAAGCTTGCAAATCCAAATTGCTATTGATCAACTGCACATTTCTAAAAATAATTCTTCTGCTGCAGGTCTAAAAGCTTTCCTTTAGTTTTCCAGGTCTGATAGTTCTTTAAATTGTGTGGTTTTGGGGGGATTTTTCTTTTAATTCAACCAATACACTGAAGAAACGAAAACTGGGGGAGAAACCATTTCAACGGGAAAAGCTCTGTTCAGCTAAACGGAAAAGAGTTGCATTGGAGATGATGGTGTTACTGAGTTAATCCACTCTTTAAAATTTTACCTTTCAACCAAAAGCTTGTCTTCAGTGAAGACATGCCTTAAGATGGAGCTCACATTATTCTATAAGCTCCTATTTTTCGCTTCTGACTTCAAGGAGCGGCTTGGATACAGAAATGTGTGTTGTAGATGGACTAAAATTACAATGAAATTCTTTTTGTCCAAAGTGTTTGTGGGAGAGCCCTGGGGCTGTGGTAGTGCCAGCCTTTGCAGCATCAGACCTTAACTTTGGAAAGTATAGAAACATCAGAGGAAGTAGGACAAGAAAGTTCTGTATGTACATAAATGCTAGCACTGCTTTAGAGTAGGCAGTAGCTTGGGGGTGAAGTTGTCATTATGCCTAATTTCTTCTAGGAGAAGCTGTCAATCTGTTTTGCTGTTCCTAAACACTCTGTATCTTGTTCAGAACATTAGGAATAGCCTGGACACTGATGGACTTCAAAAGAAGATTTTGGAGTTGTCTAAAACTGCAGCAGAGCTTCAAGTAAGTGTTTTAACTTTAGGAGGCACAAAAAGACAGCCTATAGTTTACTCGGGTCTAGCAGAGGGGAATTCCCACCTCTGTAAGGTAGACAGCCCTGAACTAGCCTGTACTGAGGAACTAGAGAGTGATTGTAGTTTAGCCAGCACGATAGCTTTGACTAGGAAAGTTGCTATCTGGAAATTGAAGCTGTCGACTGTTTATATTAGCTTGGTTTCTAGTCTTCCCTCTAAATTTAGTTTTTTAGGAAACCTTTTGAATATTAGAAAATAATGCTTTGGCTGATGTTGCTGAAACTATTAGCCTGGGTAGACAAGAAGAGACAAATGTGGCTATGAGAACTGAAACGCTTCTTTCACTTCTAACTGGGTGAAAGACTTGAACTTTGAAACATGCATGCAAGGTATTCAGAGAAGAAGCTGATCTTTCAAAACAAGGGATCATGATGCCGTTTTTCCCTTCTGTGTAAGATAGAGTAATAGACTTCTATCATAGTACGTGCTGATGACTAGAGGACTCTCTAATCTCTTCACACCTCAGATCCAAGCACACATCTATGAGAGCACTGTGGTGAATAAAGAGGCAAGCCTGATCCAGGTTAGTTGCTTTATTTTACTGTTGTCTTGCCTGAAACTACTGAATATGGGACACTGCCAAAAACCCAACGCAGCTGTCTACTGTGGTGCTGTTCTTTCTGATGTTCTTACATGACAGAACCTGATCCTATAAATGGCTTCAAAGTAGGCGACATCTACTTTAGGAACTGGGTATGAGTCAGCATAATTAAGGGTTTCAGGATTTTGCTTAAAAAAAAAAAGCACCTATTAAAACAAAACAAACAAGGAGAGTTCAGAAAAATGTACAGAAACTTCTAAAGGCTAGTTCCTTAAACAGATGGTAGAAGAGTGTACCTGCAAAAGATTTTTCCCCTCGTGTCCTCTAGTTCAGTTGCTTATTTCTTGTATCTGACTGGACATGGTGATCCAGAACTCCACAGAAACTCAGATTTAACCGTTCTCAGTACTGAGATGTAACTATCTGGACCTTGCTGAAGAGTGTACATTTCTGATGTTGTTTTCAATTGTAGACTTTTAAAAACATGAAGACATAAGGTCCTGTAAGGACCGTGGCGTTCTCTAGTCTCAATGAAGCTAATTCTAAGCTAATGAAGTTTCTGTTTAGTAGAAGATGCTCTAACTTTGCTGGTGAAATATTTGACTGTCAGGCTCTCTGCAAAAATGATTACAGTTTGAATTTGACAGTGACAAGAGTACTAAACTTCAGTGTTATGCAACTGATAAATATTGTCACTGACAATTTTTACAGGTTTTGCCAGAAGCAGCCTCAGGGTACAAAGGAATTAACATTTTCTTAAAAACCTGCAATTTCTCCTCCTTGAATGATTCAACATTTCTCTGGCATCTGTAGTATCTTTCCCTTTAAAGAAAAGCTTATCCCAACTACTGACTAGATGGGAATTTTGAATGCGGTTTACTAGATTGCACGTGCTTGCAGGTGAAGGCAGCTGGTTTGCATAATTTTGAATAAACTGGTGAGGAGAACTAATTTTGCTTCTTGCTGTTAGGGTCAGTGGAATGAGGGTTTACCTGTAAGCTAAAATAACTTCTATAGATTTTGATCCAAAGACAACTTGGATAAGACTAATGGTCATTGGAAATTACCTTCTTTTTCTTGGCCAAGAGCTGCAGAAGATGCATAACGATGAAAAACACTTTAACAAAATAAAGACAAGAAAAAAGTTTAATCTTCAGCATCATAGGTCGTTTGTCTTCTCCAAGAAAAAGCTGGAGACTTTGCTCTATAACCTGACTACTTTGCATATTTGCTTAGTTTTTTTGTATGTACTTTACCTTTTTCAAACACCTCAGATGTTACTTTTTAAGAAGAGGAGGAGGAAGAAGTCATAAAAGAGAAGAGGGTGAGAGCTCTCACTGCAGGTTCATATTTTCTCTAAGGAATGCTCTGGTTGTCTGTGCCAGCATCTTCTGCCATAATGACATAACACGATTGCTACTTTGCATAGCTAAGGAAGCTACAACCTTCTACTAGTTCCTTAGTCTTACTGTGAGGTGTGAAAGGTTCTCTATCAACTTTCCATTAGATGATGTTTAATCTGCAGCGCCCTACCCTCTGTGCCTTTAATCATGAAAATTTATGAAAGCAAACTTGTTTAGGAACACAATGCAATTTATTTTAGAGGTCATTTAGGATTAAAACTCATGTCAGGCACGGTATAGTCTAGACTTTCCACCAAAAATAAAGTGCTTCTGTCTAGTTTAGTCTGCTACTGCTGGTACAGAAATCAAGAGAGTAAAAGATAAAACACAGCACCTGGAAAGAATAGCTCTGTCCCCTTAACGCCAGTAGTTACACAGGAAAAAGTCTTCCAAGTGTTTTCTTTTAGCCAATATGTGAGACAATTGATTCTATATTCCTTCAGATTTGCAACTGCTTTTATCTTATGTGGTTAGATTGCTTTCCCCTTCTCGTTTTCTGCACCCTTCCCTTCCCCTCTCCCCAGAAAATCAGAGCTGCCAAAGCACCAGAAAATGGATTGCTGCTCAAACCTCAATTGTACAACTTACCATTGTGGTGTAGGATTGACTATAGTAGTGTCTTAGTTACAAAGCATCTTAGTCACAAATATTACAAATATTAGACCAATTAGGTCATTAGGTTATGTGCTTTAAAGGTTTTGTTTGGTTGGTTTTCTTCCACAACCTTTGCAGAAGGAGCAGGACATCAAAGAACTGAAGTCAACCATTGTGGAATGTTCCTCAATAATAGAGGTATGGGACTGACTTTAGCTTGTGACTAAGTGAGAGGAAAGCGTGCATGTCCTCTGCTTGTTCTGTGTGGCAGACTACCTAACCAGATCTGATGTGTGTTTTAGACTTTGCGAGCAGAAAAAAATAAGCTACTAGAGAACATGCAACACATGCAGCAGGAGCTGATCTCGTGAGTATTGTGAGCAAGTCCCAGAAAACACAGTTCATCGAAAGGCAAAAAGGGCTGAGGTATTTATTTATTTTTTCCTACTTCTTTTAGGAATGGTCTGAGCTTCCCATTAATGTACAAATTTAACAGCAGTATTGTTGAAGGAACAAATTCACTGCACTGTGAGCTGGAACTTGCTCAGGCTTCTGAGGTATGACTCAAATCTTACGAAATCTTATCCCAGTTCTATTGCGACAGCAAACAAAGAATAAAGCTCATTCTCTGAAGACTGTTAGATAACCCTAGAATTAGGATCCTTTAGTCCTAGTATGGAAGAGTACAATGTGAAGATTACAATATCATTCTGTGCACGTTGGATGAAACCCAGAGAAAAGCACACAAAATATTTAAAAAAAAAAAAAAATACGGCCTACAAAATAAAGCTGAGAGTGCTAGGGTCATTTAGCTGGCAGAAGAACAGACAGGGGAGATGAGACTCTTCAAATACATAGAAGACCATTATTGAAGAAAGTGGTGATCTGCTTTTCTTGTGCTACCTGCAGTGGACATAATTTTTTAATTGCAGGAGGAAAAGCTGCTTTTTTTCCTGAAGCCTAATCTAGTGAAAAGGACAACTAAGCACTGGAATAAGCTCCTTCAGAAGGCTGCAGAGCCTCTGTCATCTAATCTGTTCTTTAGAAACTCTGATAAGCGTCTCTCTATAGGCAGCATTTCCTTGTCCCTCAGCAGGAGTAATAACTGGACATGACTCTGATCTGTTAAAGTCATGTCCAGTTATTTTTCCTGTGGGCTCTGGATAGTTGCTCAAAAGAGGCAAGGAGAGGCATTCCTCTGAGCCCAGGCGTAGGCTGGCAAGATCTTAGTCCTATTGCAGTTTGCACAGCAGCCTATATTGCAATAACAACTATTACCGCTCAAGTAGTTTAGCAAGATGCAAGCTTCACCAAATTACCTGTAAAGTAAATACAGACTCCGCTTATTCCTTACTGGATAATACCTCTTCTGAATAAAGATAACTGATGACTGACTTCCTTTTGCTTATTTCTGACATGAAAATTTATGAGTTTGTTCATCAGCTTGGCTTTCTGCGTGTGTGTGCATGCGTTTTATCCCCATGACAAGATGTTTTTGAAAGCCTTTACAAGCTTCAAATTTGCAGTTGCTCTGACCTTCTGGTAAATACAATGCAGGGGTACTTCCAAAAAGTCTAAATGTCATTGATGTTGCTCTGTAGTAGAGATGTCAAAATAAGCTAGCTGACTCTCTTCTCTTCTCAAAGATTACCAAGACTGAATGGACATCTCTGGATGAAACACTGGACCGTGAAGTGCTGTTCTTACTTCAAGGACCTGAATGTGCAGGAGAGAAATTTAAGGCTATTATGCAAAATCTGGTCAGTGGCATAGCTTGTGTGAATAAGGCTATGAGGCTATGTTCTTTTCATCAGGCTCTTAATTAGGTCTTCTCCAAGATGTCCAAATAGATCAGTTTTTCCGTCTGAAAAAATGAGGATAGCTTATCTTTTTTTCAGGGATGTACTTACTCTACCAATATCTACTTGGTACCTACTTTAAGCTATCAAAAGTCTGTGTAATTCTGGGCAGCTTTACACACCACACATCTATTCTGATTTTTTTTTTTTAAATTTTTTTTCCTTCCTCCAGCAAGCAGAAGCTACTGAACCAGAGGAGCTTGTTATGACTTCTTTACAATGGGTGGAAGATCCTGATGTGAACATACAGCAAGCTTGGGAGAGAAAGCTTGTAGTAAGTAATTCTATTTCTCTGACACGCTATTCTCTGAAATAGTGGACCTGTGCAAAAATTTGAGGTTGGGTGTCTTACTGTTGCATGCTACATGTATTACTTGAGGTCAGATATGACTATAAGGAGAGAAATAAGTATCTTCTGTTGTAAGTTCTTGGAGGGGAAGGGGAGAAACGATAGCTGTTCACCTGAATGCCTTGCTTTTCCTGGCTTCTCTTTTGCGAAAACTCACTTTGTTAAAACTGTCTGAAGAAAAGCATAAATGAAGCAAGTAGTATGGACAGAAGATGGCAATACTGTTATGTGAGTTATGAAGCTTTTCCGCCTGCTGTACGCACCTGGATGAAAGTTGCGTTGATAGGTGCCAGTGCAAAGTGCTATTATGCACCTTCATCAAAACTGTAGTCTAGTGCCTCAAGCACCCGTTCTCCTTTGCGTGCTAAGTAGCGGATAGCCTCTTCGTTAAGAGCAGGAAAAGGCTTTATAACTGCATGTTCAAATTAAAACCATCAGAGTTTGGTTTCTTTGGAAAAGCAGTGTTATGCTTCTGCTGGACACTCCTCAAGAGAAGTTTCTACAAATACATGCTTTACAATTTAATCTTGCATAATACTTTTAATGTTCCTCACGCTTCTTGAGAGGCTCAAGAATTAAGACTTGTGCTCAGAGCAACTGTGTGGCAAGAATAACTTCTGCATGAGGTAGCATTAGTCTGCGGACAAGACTCAACTCTCTTGTCCCTCCCCTTCCTTCCCATGTAACAGCAGAGTTTCTCAAATGTTCCTCTTGTTGGATGTAATTTTTCTCTAACTTTTTCCTTCCTACTAATCTGCTTTTAGAAACACCGCTTTGGAAAACTGCGCTGCACTATAAATTAACACTGTCTTTGCTCACCTTAATAGACTAAAACACAAATTCATCCCATTTGTGTAATAGCAGAAGACCGTACTGCTGTACACACTGTACACAGCTTGCACACTGCTGTAAGCTGCCTGCTTTTAAGCAGACTGTTGATCTTCTTTTCCTCTAGCATTGAAAAATATTGTAGTTGGCTCTCTTCATCCTTCTTGGGCCAGCAGGGGCAATCATTGGAGCAGTCCAGTTTTGCAGCAAGTGTTTGTTTTTCACTGGGTGGGGTGGGGGATGGAGGTGGTGTTTTTATTTATTTAATATAAATCATGAAAGCTTCCTCTTGAAATAGTGCAAGAATTTCTCAGCCTCTTCACCCAGAATGACTCTGGGTAGAATCTAGGAAACTGCTGGCTTGTGCTCTGCTGTAACTTTTCAGTCTTAGAAGCTTCCTCCTTCAAAGTTTTCACGGCCAAAAGACGGTTGTTAATTCACCATCCGTGCTGAGGTTGTGTTCCCTTTAAATGTATGAAGCTACAAACTTTTGGTACAGGTATTAGAGCTGATAATGGCAATTAAATCCTGTTCTGACCGCAATAAATAACGGAGCTAATAAGGAAGAACAAGATGACCTTAAAAATAAAAGATCACATGTTACCCAAACCCTTGGGGATGGGAGGTGACTTAATGTGACTTACTGTTTTAGCTAGCTGAAGACAAGATAGGTAAGGGGAAAATATGGTATACAGAGCTTAACAACAGTAGGGGTGGGCTTTTTGGTTTATCCAAAGTACCTTCTTCCACCCTTACAAAAACTTTTTATAGAAATTGGATTAAATCTCAAACCTTGCTCTGTCACTTGAAGCCTAAACACTTCCCCCCACCCCTTCTCAGTTTCTTATGTGGTATATAATGGACAAGTTTTGCTGGTTTTTAATATGTTTTAAAGTATATTCTGTATTACATACAAGTAAATTTTAAGTGTGCCTCTGTGTATGTACTTAAGTGTATGTATAAAGGGTGAGAGTAATGACTTTCTCACCCTTCTCCTGCTGGAAGATACGAATTTGCCACAATGCACATGTGCCCCAATAAACCTATACCACTTATGTTTCAAAACCATGTCACTTCTAACGGCTAGGGCTGCCTATTCTAGCTGAGAAACTCATCTTCAGGATGTGGGCATTTGCACACGTTCACATCCCATGACGTTCCAGTAAACCTATCTTAAAAAAAATATTGTTCAGGCCCCTTTTGTAATGTGGCACTTAATGTGCTGCCCTCCTCTGTGCATAGCTAACAAACAGCATTGGACTAGAACTTGAAAACTGGTAAGGTGGTCCATATTTGTAGAAGAAACCTTTTGCCCCCTCTCTCTGAACTAGTGGAAGATCCTAGAAATCTGAACCTTTTTCCTACTTCACCTCTGTTTCATTCTTGTTAAGTGCTTACTAAAAGCTGAGTACTCCGAACTGCATGTTCAGCTGAACAAGGTTGGAAAAAGAGAACTGGACGCCTCTTTCTCAGTACTGAATACTGCAAGTCACTGTTAAGTAACGCTGCATCCTTTGTTTCTGAATACTTCATTTTTATGATCTTCCCCTTCCCCCCCCCCACTACAAAAACAGAGATAAAACTGAAAGTGTTTGTCACTGGGGTCACCCTTGGATACATTTCACCTAGATATGCAGGAAAGCAACTGAAGTATGGGTTTCTTATTTTCCCCACCACCACCTCTGTAATTCCGAACTCAAATTAGTGCCAATGGACTTACAGGTGCACAGGTGGACTTACAGGAAAAAGAATGATGAAAATTTAAATAGACAGTTCTAGGGCTTCCTGCAAGTTGGGCATTATTAGAATTTTCACCTTATGAAATAAGTTTTTGTTACTGTATCTGGGCAACTTGTAATGGAGGCTTTCTAGGGCAAGTCGCAAGGAATCTCTTGCATGCCATGTGTGCACCTGTCTTTTCGTACTTACTTACCATAAACGTTTGTTAACCATACATTTGTTTCACAAGGGACAAATAGGAAGAGGACTGTCTACATGCCCTAGTCTTTCCCAGGAAGAAAGACTGGGAGTGGCTTCTGATTTGGAAACCACTTTTCTTAAAAAAGCAGAATCCACTTGTCAAATCGAACTAGCTTACACAAGGCTTAAGATCTAAGTGTGAAAACTGTTCTGTATTGCTCCATCTAACCTTAAAAAATACTAATGCTTGGTGGGAATCTAGCCCATCTCTCCAAGCATCCAATCAGGGCCGGGAGTCTGAAGGTAAGGGTATGAAACTTCTGTAGTTTCATTAAGCTATTAGATGGAATAAATACAGTTTTGCATGAAACAAAATCCTATTTCTCCTTTGTAAGATCTTTCTTATCAAATTGTATGTTTCCTCCTCTCCCTCTGTTGTCTCTCTCTTGCCCTTCCCCCAACCAAAGGGTTGTGCGAGTAGATTTACAAAATACTGCTGATCCCCTACCTTCAATACAGTGTAGCACTATAGGTGGTGTTTGATGTGGGTGACTATACTAAAGGGTGGAGCTAGGAAATTCTCATCACGTAACTGGCTCTGGTTTACCCTATGGCTCTACTCTCCATCTAATTATGGTGCAATTCATTTTCAAAACTTCACAGATTCTCAAGCAAGAGCTGGAAGAAAAAAGAGAGCTTTGGATCCAGAAACTTCATCTCTTAGAAAAATGCAAAGAATCCATAGATAAGGATTTTATTAGAGTGGCAGGCAACCTGAGGCGAACCAAGACAGAGCAACTTCACTTAAGGAAAGAGCTCTCTGCCAGGTACCTATTCAAAGTTCTGTTTTTTAATGGCTTTTGGAACAAAGATGGCTGAATTTTGAAGACTTTGCTTCACAAAGAAAATTGTCTGCTGTCTTGGGATGCAGATCTGCTTTTAGCATAACATCACATGATGTGGGAGTTAAGGTTTGTGTATGTAGTAACGTATGATCTTGGAGATGTGTCTTAAAAGCACCAGGAAAACCATAGACTAAGGTAGTTTGTGTGGTGGTTTTTCTTTTCCCCCCTTCACTCTGTTTATCTAACAGGTGCAACTGTTAAACTGCTGGTTGTGTGTGAACCCAAAGACCTGTAGAATATAGGCCTGCAAGCATCCTTGCTTTTGGAGACACTTCCTAGCTCAAGCCAATGTACTATCTTAATTTTTTTTAATGGCCTGACCTCAGTGGGTTATCTCATTAAACAGTTTTAAATTTCAGTTTATTACCACATAGTTCCTGTTATGCATTTTGACATTAGAAGTATGATACCAAAAGCAAGCTGATATAAACTTCTGCCCTTCCTCCCCTATCTCCTCCGCCATTCAGGAAAGCAGCTAGGCAAGTTGGTTCTGCTAGAACAATTAATCTGAATTTGCTGTCTCTGTACAAGCCAGGCTTATTCACAGCATCATTCTTCCACCATCCTTTGCCAAATATAAATATCTGCATATGCCCCTTTACCTGGGGTGAGGGTATGAGCAGCTTCCTAGGGCTTGTCATCCCTGAGAGCTGATGCTGAGCAGTCATACTGCTCCTGCACCTGACTCTTCTTCTGCTTTTGTGGTTAATAAACCTGCTGTCAACCTCCCACCTTCTCTTCCTTCACTTACAAAAGAGCTGATAAAAATACTGATGACTTGGTCTCCTAAAGCTACTTCTCTATATCGCCATTGCTTGTGGTGGTAGTAATAGGAAGGAATTCCTCTGAAGGCAAATTAGAAAAGAGATGAGGAAAGAGTTTCTGCAGTATAAAACAAGGGATAGCTTGAAAGCCATCATTTTTAGCACAAGTTCTGTGTATGGTGTCTGCTTGCTGTCAAGTAAAATACCCTCTGAACCACTGGGAGATTAACCAGGTGAAGCTTTGTAGCAGCAGTAATAGCTAGAGGGCATTTCTACTAGAATAATTGAGTATCTTATTCCTAGCTTTCCCAAATAATGAGATGAAATGTTCATTTGAACATTGCTGGATTTTGGGGAGCTGTGAGATGCAACAGCTGAATATGGTTCTTCATGCATGCCTCAACAATTAGCATGTGCCATCTCCTAGGCATGCCTGTTTTAAAACGTCAGTAACGGTTGTGGTTTGTGCTCTCGCACTCTGCAGGCAACGTGAGATAGAAACTGTCAAACAGTTGCAAGAAGAAGCTGCTGGCCAGGCAGAAGCCCTTGGTTTAGATCTAGAAAAAGCTACAAAGCAGCTTGAGGATGCCAACAAACGGGTAAGAGACCATCTAGTTAGTTCCTTCTATGTGTTTTTGCATGTGCTTGCCTTATTTTCTTAAAAGCTACACACAATGCGTTGCTGCTCTTGGGAAGGGAAATTGTATGTTCGGAATGGAGCACCTCATTGCAAAAGTGGAACCAGCAGAGGAAGTAAAATTTGAGGGGGTGGTGACAACAGTTTGCTGATGAAAGAGGCAGCATTACATATTTGTGGTGGCTTTAAAAAAAAAAAAGAAAGAAAGAAAAGAAAAAAGCCAAAAATAGCTTCCATACACAGTCCACCCCAATGTAAAAATGCAGAAGTTCAGAGGGAGCTTTATCACTTCCTGAGAGAGAACAGATGCACTTTGGTTTCGCTTACATGAACTGTAGAGGCTCCTTGTCCTAGCCTGGCTGACTTTTTCTTTTTTCTTCTTTCTTAAATATTGTTTTGTGCTTAGGCAAAGGATCAAGTTGAAGCATTTCTCTCTGCTCGCGAGGAAGCCTCGTCCTTGAAATTCAGGTTAGAGGAAGCCATTTCTGAGCAGCAAAAACTGAAGGATATGAATGCAGCTTTAACAAGTACTTGCCAGTTGCTTCAGGAAAAGGTGGAAGAGCAGAAAAGTGAGTAACTACTGGCACATGCCAGCATATATTTATTTACTTTTGAACAGGCAAATCCTTTGTGGTTTAACTGTAACAAGGTGGGATAGGACTGACCTTCAGGTTACCCTGCAGTAAAATGTGCTGTGGAAGTTTTTTTGCGCTCCCCCCCCCCGCCCAAGAGATCTGCAACTATGGTATCTGGGCTCTGAGTGGGTGTTGGGCTGGACCAAACCTGCAGAGCCTCCTAACACCATCCTCGGTAGTAGGAAGAAGGATTAATAACTCCATAGGTGACGCTTCCTGACTGAAGATGCTGTTCCCACATCTGAATAGCCCACCGCACTCCTAACAATTTTCCCTCTTCCTTAAGCTTCCTGCCTTCTGCTTGCTGTTTGGGTTTGCTTTGTATTCCTGAATAACTGTGTTGATCAGGCTGTTCTCCCTGGCAGAAACCCATCGTGTCATTGGTACTGTCTGTGTGTGTGTGCATGTGCAACTTTTTGCCAAAGAACCACTGAAATTTCATACTGCTTCTGGCTCACCCGTTTATTAACATCAGCACCCCAAAAGCTTGGACAACTAAAGAACACAGTTATTTAGAAATAGAAAGCTACATGTGCTGGAATCAAAGTCTGGAATGTCTGTCATTTGGTGGAAACTGTTTTGACTGTTTTATGACCACTGAGCATTTGGCCTCCAGGATGCGTTTTCCAAGGCAATGTGCGCTGTTGTTTGTGCTAGGCAAAAAGCTCGAGGTACGCACGCGTTATAAACTTCTCTACTCGCAACTGCGATCCGTCTTGTAGAAAGACGACACGGGACCCTGCGTCTTAGATCCAAGGCATAAGTGAAGCAAGTGCCTGTTAAGCACTGGTGCTGTAGCAACAGCCCCAGGCTGCACTTGCTGACTTGTGACTGGGTTTTGGCATTGTCTCATGGTGCCTTCATGTTTGCTGCTTCCTTTAAACTCCGAGGTTTTTTAGCAAGGGGCAAAACAATGGAACTAGCATGTCGCCTTCCCACTCTGAAAAGACAGCTTGCTTTGCGGAAAAGCTTTATCTTAAAGCAAAAGAGAGAATGATGTCACAGTGGCTTAAAGCAAAAACAAAAAAAAAAACCCTCTCCCTTTCCCTTACCTCCTTCCCCCCAAAATCCTGGGTGAGACTCTGGCTTTACATGACTTCAAGTGTTTTGCGGGAATCTCTTTCTGCAGCTAGACAGCAAGAAACCTGTAGAGCTCTGGAAGAATAATAGAGTGTTATCACAGGGCATTATGAAGGATAGGGCTGAGAAACAAGGATGAGAGTAGTGGAGAGGACTTTCTTCTTCCTTTTTCATTCTTTCTCCAGGAGAAAGCCAGCCAGGTCTAGTGCTTCTTCTGACTAAAAAGCCTTGGTGTTGGTTTGTCTGTTTTTCTCTCTCATCCTGTTTTCCTGCTTCTCCTTCCCCCCCCCCCCCCCACCCAAACCCCCTGTGCTGATTAAAAAAGCTGAAAAACTAGGGAACCTGTTGGCCAAGGGAGGTGCTGCTCATACCAAAGTCAGCCTGGCACAGCTCCTCCTGTGTTTCAGATGTCCGATCATGACTTGCTGCCAATTGCTATAATCTAACGCCGCCCTCCCCAACCCTCCCTAACCCCTTTTTAAAAAAAAAAAAAAAAAATTACCTCCGAGGTAAATGCTGCAATAGGCTTATTTCAAGCTAGAAGCCGCAAGAGGCGGTCCCTGGTCTTGCCAAACTTTAGCAAAGAGTTCTTCTAGGTTTGAAGTATGAAGTAAAGCCCATCTATCTTGCAACTTCCTAACAGGATGTCAGACTGGAGAGACAAATACTTTTCTTTCAAAAAGTTGTAATGTAATCCTCCATTTCCATAAGGAATTGTTGCACCTTAACCCTGATATAGGGAAGAATTCTCTCCTTTATAGCAAAATAAGAGAAACCACAGGGAGGAAAAAGTATCCAGTATTTCCTATGTGGTGGAACTTGCAAAATAAAATACAAGAAACAGCATTTTCAAAGTGTAAAAACTCTTGTAGGTAACTAGTCCAAGGCAAAGTGTAACTGGTTTGTGATAGGCAGCGGTCAGGTTTAAAGACCTTATAATACCTATCTGCTTGTTAGCAAGTCACAAGGAGCCCTTTAAGACTTGTAAACATCTCTTCATAGCAACTGTTAACGCGCTGAGGAGAAAAATGCTTAAAGGGCGACTGACTGGATTGCAGTGTCAGGTATGGAGCTTCTGCGGTGGGAGACGAAAATGGCCTTGCACAGGAGGTGCTGTGGTTGAAGGACACTTGTAATTGGGATGGGCTGCAAGCGATTCTGCAGCATCTGGTTTCTTCTTTTCTAACGTGTATATTACTATGGAGGCAAAGTGAACTGTGTATGCTGGTCTGCACGTAATATCTTTCTTCTCCTGTCTTCTGAAAGAATTGGGCTGGAGCTTGCAGCTGAAGGTGTGGTGTTGGTCTTCACCGTAAATAATTGTTGGTCATCGTATTAACTGGGAGTTAGGGAAGCTTTCTCTGATGCATTGGTTTGATTTGTCCCTCATAATCAGCCTTCCCTTCTGCAGATAGCATTGAAAATAACAATGAAACACTTTGTAATAAAATATTTCTAATATCTAGGTATTGGGATAGGCAGTAAAACAGTTATTACCTTTGTGCTCCTCTGCGGAAATATGTTGAGAATTATAAACCTCTGGAAGATTTTGCTTCTAATAAAAATACTTCCTTTTTTCTTTCCCCTTTGGAAAGGGATGGAGGGGGAAGATGTCGTGGGAAGACTCTTTTCTTACCAGCTTTAGTAAGGAATGTTACTAGCTCAGGGACTGAACAGTCTGGATTTACCTTGGAACAGCAAGGTATTTATAAAGACAAACACAAGATCCTGCAGTGTATCCTAGGTCATAACAGGGGCATCAGAGGAGCTGAAACAAAGCCATAGACCAGGTGCCTGTGAATAAAACTTGTACTTTTGCATGAAGGTCTGCAGAATTCAAGGCTAAAATTAGCAAAGGGAAACAACTGGCACAGTTCTCTTGGTAGCTTAGGAAGATAAAATTCCATTTTGTACATAATCAGTAGTACAGGTTGGGGTTTTTTTGGCTCTCTTTTTTCATTTATATCTGCTTTCTTTAACCTATTTCCTCTGTTGGAACAGAGCACTGTAGATGATGAATCTGATTACAGCCTGCTGCCCACATCATCTCAGCCCGTAAAAGGGAAGGTAAGTGTCTGTTTGCTCTGACCACTGCTAAATCTACTAAAATGTGCCATTCTTATTGATGCTTGTTGGGGGGAGGTGGTGTGTGTGTGGCAGGGGGTGATCAGGTTCATGACCTGGAGCAAATAAATAACTTCCCTTGTCAGAAACTTTGCCAAGCTAAACATCTGACAAATCTGAGAGATATATATTTACGCATGTAGAAGCATATTTAAAGCTTTAGTGCAAAGCTAGTTTCTTGTTGCTTCTGAGCAGTCACTGTGGCAAAATACAGGAGCTTGATAAATTGCCTCTTGAGAAGGAACAGAGACTGAAGATAGGGCTACATCTTCCAATTTCTTTTCTGTTTTTTCATCATTCACGCTACATATGGTCAAACGCAGCCGAGTAAGCGTTGCTTCAGGAGTTCCTTCCAGCCATCTTTAGACAAAGCCTCTTCACTGCCATACAACAAATAAGTCGTGTATTTTGAGGTGGGGGAAAGCCCCTCTCTCCGTGTGGCAGAGCTCAAGTTGGAGCTGTCCTACTATGCCTACTGAGGGAAATATGCCTTGTGTGGCAGGTCCCAGACACTGGGTGAATGCTTTCCATCTGGGTCCGAGGGCTTGGCTTTACTGTAGGCAGAAGAGAAAATGCCCTCTCCCCACCATCTGCTGCTGTGCCTGTCTCACCTATTTCTTATCTAGCTGAAACTAGCATGTCTGTTGCAAATGTAATGCTAAAATTTGGATTATTCTACCTCCTTCTGTATCTGTTCCATCTGTTAAGGATATGAGCTTTTCTGGGCATAATACAACAGATGATGTATTTGTGTAACTGCTAATATTATGTATGCAGATGCAACTGTTGGGAGAGGAACCTTGATGGTCTTTGGGTATTAATGTATTAAACATGACTGAATAATATCAGCACTTTCCGCTTCTCTTAATTATCAGCTCCACTGTTCTAAAAGACCGTGGGGCGAGGGATCCAGCTTGTGCACTGAACCTCTCAGGACGCTGCCCTCAAATATTTCATGCTGGTATCTTACACCCCTGCTAGGTAAGACCTGTTGGTAATGACTATTCTTCTGAAATATAGTGAGGGTCTAGAACAGTCTTAATTGGTGCTAAATGCAGGGTATTGAAATGACCTGTAATAGAAATTGTTCTTTGGGTGGTGCTCTTTACCAGGAGAGCTTCTGCTCAAGCCTTGGTGAGAATCCAGGCAGCGTATAAATAAACTAAAGCCAAAATAGTTTTTCATGTGTGATTCATGAGACTTGATCATGTTTATAAAGCTCTCAAAGGCCTGAAAAGGTGACTTCCTTTCAGTCCACCAGAAGTCCCCAAAAGCTTAAGAACTATTGGCATAAATCATGCACCCAAGAGTATTCCTGACAAGACACGTGCCAGTCTGGATTGACAGGCCTTAGGCTATGTTCTTGCCATGCAGCCTATAAACTGTTGCACAGTGAGACAGCAAGTGATGTCCTGCTGCTTTGCTATTGAGCTGAGGTCAATCCTGGCAAAAACTTGAACAGACAGCACAGCTCCCAAAACTGAACTAATTGCATTTGTTCATTTATGTCCTGCATTCATAAGCTGTTCAGACTTCCCTGCGCACCTCTTTTTTTTTAAAAACTACCATCTATACTAAAAGCAACCATTGATTCATATGGCTTGTAGAACCACAGAAATGCAGAACAAATTTGGGGTTTTGTAGGCAGAATTTCTTCCAGCACCAAGCTAGTACAACACAGGTAGTGTCCAAGAGCAGGGAAGCTACAAAATTCTCAAATGTAATTTTATGCCAAACTGAGGAAAATGAAGATGTTGCTTGACTGCACGTGCTCTTTTAAAAATAAATACTCTGCTACTTTAGAATGGCTGTTTCAATGCGCAAACCTAAGAGGGTAGTTACAACTTGCCATAATATTGCAGTTCAGCCACAAATAGGGCAGGTGTTTATGGCTTGCACCAATGAAATACTGCTACAGAAATGACCACAATAAATCAGCCCACCTTTTTCTGCCACGTAAAATAATGACGACACCAAAGTTGTCCCAGATGGAAGTTTCTATAGCCTGACTGATGGAACATCCCCAGCCCTAGATGTTGAAGACTCTCCATCTATGAAATAGATTAGAACAGGTGGGTACCTCGTCTAGCTCTTTCTAACCAAGGTAGAGCTGCCTTATTATAAATAAATATTATGAAGGCTTGTTTCTTGATTATTTCAGACTTGCAGGCAAAAACTCGCATAAAGCAGTACATCTAACTTTAGCTATGACCCCACTCTTCATATTTGTATCTCTTAACAGATGCTCTGACCTTGGAAACCTCATGCCCGAATAACCCTCCTGTGCCCGTCTGGCGTCCCCCCTGTAAGTGGAGCTCTGGCAGCTGCACGTTTGAGAACTGCAGTCTGGGACAGGGGTCCGCTCTGGATGTGACATCAATTTCGTGGAAGTAAGAGGGCAGAATAACCTCTTTTGGGGTGAAGGACAGAGGAGTTCGTGTGACATAGCAGGTGCCAGGGGAAAGATTCATCCCCAGCACATGCTGAGTTCAGCACTGAACTTTTTATACCCACTTTGGGGGATATAAAAATACTGGGCACTGAACAGTCAGCTCTTGGTATTTCTGGGTAACACTTTGTTTCTTAAAGAATCTGTATTTCACAACGTTAATGTTTTACTGACGTTCCTGGTTCAATCACCTGCCAAACATGGTGATGGTGTTCCCATTTCTTGCTGGAGAACTGAGGCATAAGGTAGGCATTCTTGTGGCTATCTTTAGTATTTAACTCAAAACTGACATTCACATTTAGAAGCCAAAACCCTATTAACTTTGAGGACTCAAAGTTTTTTTGCAGAGTTTAGGACAGGAGCGTTTAAATCTTGCCTATCAGGCTGCCTTCTTAAACTTTTCAAATAGAGACTGAAGTGTTTAAGATGATGAGAGATCCCTAGTGGTTGTAGGTGAATACTTAGAAAGATAGATGAGGATGCTGAAGAGGCAGAAGAAGGTAGCGTGCAGTAAAAGTCTTGGCAGCTCTTGAAGCTTTTGCCACTGATTTTTTCCATAGGGCTGGACAGGCTGGAGGAGGCTGGGAGAAGGATTAGTGTTGGTTCTTGCTGTTTGGGGGAGGAGGGACTGTGATGAATTTCTATTTCTCTGGGAGACCAGCTGTCTGAGTATATAAATAATGGTGAATTCAGTTGTTATGTGCTTAAGGAAAAAAGGCAATATATTTCAGTGTTGCTTGGGCAATATGCAAATAAAGTGTGTATTGCCAGGTGGAAAATATGCTCTGCTGGTAACTGTACTGATGCAGATCTTCCTGTTTCCATTACAACGATGGACTCTTCACTTGTTGAGGTGAGTGCTGTCGCTGACACCCCAGATGTGGTTTTGAATGGCTTCAAGGGTTTAGTGCTTTACAAAGAACCAGATTCTGAGCAGCTATAAATTGGCACTGCTCCAAGGTGAATGGAGCAGGTGTCAGTCAGCAGGGTGCTGCGATACCTTTTTTTGATATGGGGAACCCCTTCCTTTTGGGTCTGCAGCTACAGTATTCCTGAAGTGTGCCCAAGTGTCTTGATGTTCATGTCTGTCTGAGTCATGATGGTAGCTGAGGAATATTTTAAATATGGCTCTAAGGCTTGAGCCAGTGCTGCCTCTGCAGTAATAATCAGCTCTGCTGGAGAAGTCTGATTGACTTCATTCTTTCTATCCACCTGTAAGAAACCACAGGATGTTTTACTTGTGAATGCTGCCTTTCTGTGCACTTTTTTCCACGGCTACCATGTAACAGCTGGGGGGGAAAAAAGAAAAACAAAACCAAAAAAAACTTTACTGTTGCTGTTTAAAGACCCTCCCTCAGCTGATGTGCTCACTGCTGGATTGGATCCTGCATCTATCGGCATGCTCCGTCCTAGGGTTGAGCTGTTGGTCAGCTGGCCAAGCCATTGCTCAGCATGTGCAGTCCTCCTTTGCTCTCAGCACTGGTGTTCACTGTGGAAATCCATTCTTCACCCAGCCTCTCAGGCGTGTTTTGAACCGGCTTTACAAACTCCGGTACTGGTGCTGCTGGTGGTGGTAAGAGACTACGGAGTCACTGGTTTCCATGAACCTGGAAATAACCTTTTCAATACCAATAAGCAGGCACCCTGGCTGGCGCACAACTGCAGTGGTCGCCCAGTCATGGCAGCAAAGGTAAAAAGTAAGAGTGATGAGGACTGGCTGTGGTTACAGCACACTGCTCAGTAAGGGGTAAGGCAGGTGTAGGAAGTACTTGCTTGCGCTGCTGCTTCTGAAGCTGCCTTAAAAAGGAAACAGTCAAGGGCTCTTGCTTTACCCAGTGCTTCTGGAAAGTGACAGCCTTGAAAAGCTCCTTGAAATGCCCATGCTTGATAGTGTGGAAGCTTTCCGTAATTCCAGCTGGGCTCAGAAATGTCCTTGTCCTTTTTCATTTTTTTCATTTTTTTCCCCTCCCTCCTTCTATAATCCCTCCACATGTGAATATTGTGGAGGGGAAAATGAAAATATTAAAGCTTGTCCCAAAGAGAAGGAAAACAGGCTGCATCCATTATCTAGTCTAAAAACTGTGACGTGCAGCAAAATTTGAATATCCTTGTTTAATAGGAAAAGTCTCCCTAGGCTTCCTACCACACTGTGGTTGCAGATGTGTTTGATCAGATCAAGCCCTTCAGCATGTAAGTAACTCGGGTTATTTCATCAAAGTGTTATCATTGTAGGAGTTATAGGGCTGTTAAATAAGGGAGTTCTTGTGACAGCCAGGTGAGGACTGGGCTTTTTTATAGCTGGTTCAATTTACAATTGTAAAAGTTATTTTAAAAAAAATGCTAGATCTTCAAAATATTGATGCTTGTTTAGGGGAACTTATACAAGATTCTTACCAAAGTTTCTCTGCTATGTGAAATGATCCAAGGATCCCCTAATCTAAGGGATGGAGGGGAAAAGTGATTAGGATTCTGCTGCATGATCTTAACTGATGCAATCCTTTTACTAGGAGGAAGGACCCTCTGAAATCAAGTTTCATTAGCAAATCTAGAACATGGATTGTTTTTCTTGAGCATACCCCCCACAATCCAGCAGAGTAGCTCATGATGCTAATAGCTAGTATAGGGTTTTAAAAACCAGATTGAAGATTTTTCCTTCGTTGCAAACAGAAATCACTGATGGTGTGATTACCTGCAGAAGGAGAGAGAGAGCATGTAGAATAATACCTGTTGCTTTGTTCAGTTCTGTGTTCAGTGATTTTTTTTTTTTTGAGGGGATGGAAGTTGGGGGAACATGTTTCTTCTATCTCTTTTTAGTTTGTTTTCATTCCTATATGCTACTTGTCTTTCTGTCTCTCCTTCCCTAATATTCCTTTGGTCCTAAAGGCCTGAACAAGGCAAATGCAACGCTGTACTTCCTTCAGCTTAATAAAGAATTCAAATAAGAATAAAAATAGCCTGGATTTGCATTAGAGGAAACATCCGGCTGGTGGGTGCAAGGCTCAGTGAGTGCAGATGACCTCTGATGCGGGGGAGAAGGAAAGAGAAAGCACTCGCTGATGCTGGGAGCAGCCAGCGCTCTCCGACGTGTCCAGTGCCTTGGTTACCCGCTTTTCAGCTTTGTTGGTAGCCTGTTTTTTCACTGCATAAGCACCTCTTTTCTAAGCCCTCTGAGGGCATGGTGTACCAGAACATGGATGACCACTCGTTAACTCACTGATGTGATTTTGTTTTTTGGGAGGAGGGGGACTTCCCCCCCCCCCACCTTCTCCCTCTCCCCTGGAAATGGTTTTGAATGCTTGCTATGAAGGAAGACACCCAGAACTGGTTAGGCCCAGACCTTCTCTGTTTGAAGACAGGGTTTTCCCTCCCCCTTTTCAGCTGCAGGTGTTCTTCATCACAAGTCCTTACTGAGTTAGCCCTTTAAACCTCCATTTCACCTTGTATTTAATGTTTGCTGGCAGTAAGCATAGAAATAATCACTGGATGTTATAAAGGGAGAGAATCTGTCACTTGAACAAGTAAACTGGAATTATTTGGGGGAGAGGAGGAGGATTTCCTTCCCAGCACGTTGATACACTTAAGAGGATGTTGTCAGGTTGAAAACTGTACTGCAGCAAGTAAAGGAACACAAGCAAAACTACTTATAAGCCTTTAACCACGGAAATCCTGAAGGTCTGAAGCCTTCTGAAATGGCTAGGTGATTGCTATATGTAATATTAAAAATGAGGGTCCTCCAAAAACAAATGCTGACATGTGCGATGCAGCATGCAAGTTTCTTGTGTTCCAAATCACCTGTTCAGTCAAAGCCATTGACAGTAATGCTTTTAACTACCTAAATGGGTCATATATCTACAGCTGTGTGAAACTCCGTGAACCCCACTTGCTGTAGCTCAAGACCTTGAAAACAGGTTAAAAATGCAAATTAAGTTTACATTTACCTCTATGCAGAGCATTATGATAGAAAGGTTGTATGTTAACACATACTTTGTCTTTTGAAAATGTATGTCAGAAATGAAACATGATGTTAGGAACCAAAATTTCTCAGAAATACCATATTTAGAAATAAAAGATTTCTGCAGAAACAGTTATCACTCCTAACTGGTATCATGCTATCACTTGGGTGATGATACCATGTTCAGCTGCATTTTATGTGTACTGGTGGTGTTACAGACTTAACAGATGAATCTGTAGCCCTTTATCATCTAGTTTTTCTCTGCTGAAATATTCAGGTACAGTTGAAGGAATTATTAAAACCTTGACACACAAATTTTCTACTCACAAAGCAACCCTTTTCCTGATACTAACTCTTCTCTCTTTCCTTTAAGGCGGACAGTGCGGAGCCATCAATACCAGTGAGTCTGATCCTATCCAGGTCAGGTTTTGTGCAATTTCTTAAAAGCCTCTTTCTAGATCATATAAGACATGTAAGTAACTGAAAAAGAATTTTGTTCTGGCAGTGATCACTTAATATCACCCAAAGAAGTTCTTACATCCTCTTCAGAAAGCATCACACCAGTAACAGGTGAGCCCTAGACTGGGGCACAGAGATCTGTGAGCTTTGTGCTGAAAGCCTTGAAATAGATGCCGTCAGGCCTGTGCGTTTCCTGACCAATAAGTGCTCTTTCTGTTGCCTCATGCTATAGACTGTCTTGTTATGGAGGAAAAATCACCTGAGCGCTCGCATGCAAAAGAGGAAGATGTGCCAATTTCTGTAGCAATGGAGAAAATTAGTGATAAGAATCCAGCTGGTACTATATCAGGTACAGTGACTGCTGCAGCCACACAGGGCATTCATACAATGAGGAAACGTTTGCTTCCAACACATCTTTGAAGTGAGGAAGTTGAAAAAGAAAAATAACTTAATGACAGCTCACGAATTTCTGTTGTTGGAAACACCTGGGCCTGCAATTGCTCCTGAGGCTCGTGAGCAGGCATAAGATTCTGCCTGTTTGCAGGAGGCTGGTGTCCTGCAACACTGCAAAAGATAAACATGAAATAACTTTAGTGAAGTCCTGAGGCTTACTCAGCTGGCTGAAAATTGAGCTGGTACTAACCTCCATGCAATTTTGGGAGGAGAGAGAATATTTTCATGGGTTTTGAAAAGTTTGGAGACAGGTAATTAGGCTAAGCAGCATTTCCCTTTTCTTCTCTTTCAAAACCGATGCTCAGAACAGGGGAAGCTGGGATGGGTCAGGAGGGGAGATGAGGACAGAGACTTTTGTGGATGCTTCTGTCTTTCCCAACGGCCATATACAGCCAGAAAATTATTCTTACTAGATCTGATAGTGCTTCTCTCTTGCTGAAAAAATAAAAGCAAAACTGAAGTACGTGTATTGAGCTATTTTTAGAAGAGCTGATCTGAGTAAGCAGTACAGAATATGAGAGGATGCTTGTTTGTAACCACCTTGTTAACCTTCACCTAAATATAAAATTGTTGTCATTACTTCCTGTTTGTTTTTGTTTCTTTCTTTAGTACTAATCTTCCTGAAGTCTAATTCAGTCCCCTGACTTAAATATATTTTCTTTCTACTAATTTGCCTCTGCAGTCAATTTTCATATGTGGTACGGGCACCTTTGGCAGGGAGGAAGCAGATATGCAAAACAGACCAGAGTGCATCCAAACAGCTTTGAAGTCTGCGATCCTGCTCCCTGTTGTATGCCACCAAATAGGAAGTGTTTCTAGTATCAGTATTAGAGTGGAGTTATGGATGAACATACACTTTTTAATAGCACTATACAATGCCTTCTCAGAGTGCTTAGGGTCCAGGTCAGATATGTAGGGCTGCTGTGAAAATCAGCAGCAACAAAAGGGAGCAGTAGGAAAAGGGTACTGTTAATGTAAAGGATGAAAAGAGAAAGCGCTTCTAATCTGAAACTTTGTGTTTTTCCCTCTTGCTGCTGTTTCTTTGGCCTGTGTTTGTGTATGTATGTCTAGATAAACAAATAAAAAACCTTCTAGATGCTCTAAAAGGTATACATAGCTACCAGAGTTACTGCTACAGGAGAAAACAATGCGAGTCTTGGAGATTTTCTTCAGTTTCTGAAATATTTTCCTTTTTTCTTTTTTAAATAACTGTCTTTTTTGGGAGGTTACTTTTCTCTGCTTTAAAGTTTTTATAAATTTTAGATACTTGAAAATTTGTGTTGAATTTGGGTTGGCATCATCAGTTGCTGAACTTAACAGTTCATTACCACTGAACTTTGGGCAAAAAGAGTTCTTTTGTTGGCTCTATTAGCACCCTAATAGTCCTTTTTAAGGTACAAAGGGACAACGCAAGTGTTGGAACATGTCTGAAGCCCCTCTTCAAGCATCACGACTACCTGCTTTTTGAATCTTGGTTATACTGGAGCTCCTCAGTAAGAGTAGCTACAGTAGCATCTGTTTTTTGACTTCTTCCATGCTGGGGACATTCAATGAAGAGAATTACAAACACTCATTCCTCCTGTTGTTTTGGGCATGCAAATTTTTATTTATTTATTTACCTCACACATTCCTGCCCTTCTAGAAGTCAAAAAAACAGTTAAGCTATCTCTTCAAACAAACAAAAACCTGCTGTTAGCAAAAGTATGGAAACTTGTTCATCCAAGTTAGTATTGTGGTAACACTTGCAATTCAGCTAGAGCAACTACAGCCAGAATGAACATTATCACTATAGATATGTAGCACTACTTATTGTCATTTATCAAGCTAAAATATTGTATTATCACACTTCTTCCTTCATACCTTTGTGGTGTTCTTTGCTTAATGTCCTCTCTTTATAATTGCTGCAACTTATTTTAGACCTCTTGGTCAATGGCTATGCCTAGCACGTTGGGCGTTGGTGCATTGGAGGCTCTTTTTTTTTTTTGGCTTTATTTTTATTGTTACATTTGGTTTCTGAAATGTTTCTTCCAGGAACGGATCTGACCAAGAAGGAATTCTGCCCTGTGACTGAAGAACACAAAACATCTCAAAACGTTTTGAAGCAAGGCCTGGTAAGAGTGTTGGTCATACCAAAATGCCCAACTCCTTTGCCTGAGCAGTGACAAAGAGCAATGCTGCAGGAGGGGAGAGGGCCCCTCCTGTGCTTTCTGTGGTTGTAGTCTTGACATAATTGCTCTTTGTGCTTTTAGGAGACAGACCAGGAAAAGGAAAGCAATAAGAAGCAGAGTGAGGAAGTACCAGCTGTGGTTCCCAGTAGAAAAGGTAGGAGGTTCTGGCTGAACACACTTGCATAACTCTTTGGAGCACATGCCTTGGTCACCTCCATCAAGAGCTGTGTAAAGTGGTCTAGAGAGCTGTTTGGGTACATCAATTATTACAGAGTGTGTGTGTGTCTGCATGTGGGTGTGTGGGTTTTACTGGGGGGAATCGTAGCTGCAGTCAGAAATCAAAATGGGTGAGAAGCGGAGGAAGGGAACGCTGAGATGTTATCATGCAAAAACCTGCTGCTTCGACTCCTACGGATACTAATCTAACCAGCTTCATCCTCCTCCAGATAGGAGGTAGAATTCCTTAGGAGCTGCTAAGAAGTTAAGATATCTGAAGCTGAGTACTGGCGTGCCTGCCCTCCCCCAAAGCTTTATAAAAGCAACTTTCTATTTGTTAGCTGCGGTGTGGGGTGATGTGATATACACAAGCAGGGAGTTGTTTCTACTGAACTACATTTGGACATCTCCATTCTTATAGCCACCTCACCTCTTGCTTTTGGAGTTCAGTAAAAGCTAGTGATGTAGTAAGTTGTGTGACAACCTGAACCTGTGTGCAGGGAACTTAAACTAAAACCTGTAAGTAATTGTTCCTGAACTAATTAGCTGCTAGTTGAAGCCAAATAATAATCGACTTCTGGACTTTTATTTAAGTGATGCTGCTGTACTATCTTACTGATGTTCTAGCCCTAATATACTCTGAGGTATACAAATTGTTTTTACTGGCAAGAGCTTGACCCAGGGAATCTTAAGTGACTTCTACTGAGGCTTCACAGATTTCTACAAACTGTTTGGGGGTTTTTGCTTTCTCATTTTTGTCTGAAAACTTTTTTTTTCCACTTCTCAGGGAGCTCACCCACTATAGGTGGCATTAAAGGAGATAAAACAAAGCAAAATGACCCGTAAGTGTGTTTTGGCTTTCAATGATCACCTGCATATATAATTTAAAGCTGCTGTCTGTTACATAATTGTTCCTTCTTATTCTACAGTGACTCTCCTAATGAGAAAGAGGTGGAGGTAAGTCTCAGCTGCTTCTATTCTTAAAAGCTTTGGACAACAGGAAGATCTTGTAGAAAAGCCCTGATTAATATCTAGTTCTATATAGAAGAATGATGCTGAGTAGCTTGAACTGGATGGATTTAAGTTGGCTTCTGAAGTCTACCTTTCAGAGCACTGTTGGTATCAATGATAACCTGTCACATTCAAATGAAATTTTTGAAGGATAAAATAGATAGAAGTGGAAATCTGTAAAAATGACCGAAATATTTGTCACTACAGAAACATTTGTTTGCAAGTGTTGAAGGAGTATAGTTGTGACCTCATCCCAGGTAGAATGTGCTGATTTAAGACAATTTTGTCTAAGAACACAGATGGCACGCTGCACACTGCAGCGTCCTGTTCTGACTGCGGAAGGTTTCCTCAGTCGCTGCAGGTGGGAGGACTGGCACAAATGCTGGCTTTGGGGTGGAACGTCTGCTGCTAGGGATGTAGGCCTCGTATAACTGTATAGGGTATATTCCCAAATGTACACAAATCTGCTTAACAGACTTCTGCATCACTTGGTCTGTTCTGATATCTCTTCCTTTTCTACAACAGGCTGAATTTCTGAGGTTGTCTTTAGGTTTTAAGTGTGACTTGTTTACCTTGGACAAGAGAGTGAGGCTTGAAGAAAGATCCCGAGATCTGGCTGAAGAAAATTTGAAACAGGAGATCACAAATGGCCTAAAGTTGCTAGAGGTTAGCACTGGCTGAGGCCGGAAGGGAGGAATGAATGAATGACTGTCAAAGTGTCTCTTTTAAATATAACTTTGTTTTTAAGGTTTTCTTTTATTTTTATATATATATATATATATAAAAATAAACATTTACTTATTTATTACAAGCAAATGTGAATTAACTTAAGTGATGCACTTCAAATGCTAAATCCCTCTCACATATTTTAAGGCAATGCTAAATCCCTCTCACACATTAGCCTTCTTCATCTAAACATATTGCATGTCCAGGCAGTAGGGAATTTTTCTTTTGCACAGATGTCTGGAAAGGACCTGTGTATTCAGTTGTGTGTTATGCTAGGTAAACCAAAGTCTCTGCCCTTTGGAGGTCTGTATCAAGTTACAGTGACTGAGGATGTCAGATGCTGATCCTGTGACTGTGTGGGCCTGGAAGAAATGCCTTAGTGTCATCATTTGGGTTCACCTTTCCTTCTCTACTAATTGCTCTCATTGTTATCTTTTTGTCTTACCAATATGCCTCCTAGGCTTTAGTTCCTTTGTGTGAAGAAGATAACCAAGCCCAGGAGATAATTAAGAAGTTGCAGAAAAGCTTGCAGTTCCTTAGCCAGTATGCAGCCCGTGTCGCCAGTAGAGCAGAGATGTTAGGAGCTATTAATCAGGTAACTGCTTCCATGTAAATATATTCCATACAAAGTTAAAGGCTTCTAGATGTAAAAGGATAGTGTTGGCTGTTGTTAGGCTTCAGATTCCAGAACTAGGTTTGGAGATCTTGGTATATAACACAGACTGACCAGTACAGCACAGTTCTGGCTTTTTCTTCTCACATCACTGCTTGCATTATTACTACTTGGGAATCCTAGGCACTGTGAGAGTAGGATAGGACTGTGTTGTACTAGCATAGTACAAAAACACACAAAACAAAAATAAGGTCCTGATAAAAGACTTTTGCAGGAGAGGGACGTACGCAGTAGACAGTACAAAAAACAATACAGTGATAGTAGTTTCAATGCACTAATGATAATTCTCTGCCTTATGGAAGGGTTTGTTATAGGTTTTGGAGAATTCTAGTAAGCCAAATATATTGAAACTTACAGAGATCTGCTCAAACATTATTATGTGCAATTGTGTATAATGCAGAACACCAGCAGGAAAATATGACTTGGCAACACTAGTAAATGTGTGGTGGCATCTGAGAGTGTAGATGACAGAATGAGATGATGAGGAGTTGCAAAGGCTTGGAAAATGAAAATTGTAACCTGTGCTAGAATAAGGGGAATCACTGGAGAAAGGCAAGGACCTTTGTAACCGGGGCATACATTAAGAGAGAGGTTGCGGAAAAACTTTGAAGGGGTGGACAAAATGAGGATGTTGGAGCATCATGATGCAGGATAAGTAAATGGTCGGGGTGGAGGGGAATCTTAAAATCTACATGTCATGAGGTTCCTCAAAGAGCTGCTCTTTTTTCCTGCTGCTGAGTTGCACTCACTCCATTAGGAGAGCCGTGTCAGCAAGGCTGTGGAAGTAATGATTCAACACGTGGAAAACTTGAAGCGCATGTACACAAAAGAGCATGCTGAACTTGAGGAGCTAAAACAGGTCCTGCTCCAGAATGAAAGATCGTTTAGTTCTCTTGGAGATCGAGGTAACTAGGAAAAACTACTTAGCTTTCTGTCCTCCTAGGGTTTGCCAGACAGACTCTTGTCTAATTGAAGCTCAATGTCATACATGGGATGGGTTGTATGACTGTTCTCTCTCCTTTTCTAAAAATAGAGAAGAAATCGGCAATATGCTAATAGTACTAGAAACAACTCTCTGAAGTTAGACTTGTACGTAAACTGTCATGAACCTCTGCTGGGGGGTGGGGAAGAAAAATATTGCAAATATGCAGTAGAGGTCTGGCTTTTAGAGTAGTGCAGAATGTGTGACAATAATCTTGCTCCTTATGAGTGATAAATTTGGGTGCATGCTCATACTGGAGCTTTTCCCCTGGCTATTTCTTGGTATCTGAGTCTTGATTCCTGTGAACTGTTCTTACAGATGCTTCCTGCTCCCTTTTCTAGATAGGAATCACAGACACTGTAAGTGCAGGTGCTCTGAATTTTACCCTTTAAGCAGATGGTACAGCGATCAGGTTTTCAGATAATGCTGTGTGCCTGCAGTTTTGCCAGGAGAAGTATTAGATCCTTCTGTAGAACAGGGCACGTATTTTAAAAACAGAGCGATCTTAAAGACATACCAGTAATATCCTCTCAGGAGTGTTCTCCCTGCTATCCCTTCCTTTTCAGCTACAAGCTGCTGCATTGTATAAGAGATTAGCCCTTAACAGGATGTTGACTTGGTAATAGTAGAATATACTTAAGGATAGCAACAGAAATTAATCCCTGCAGAGGATATACATAATGCATGGATACTATCAACTCAGCTAATGAAATAAAAAGTTTTTCTCTGAAATCTCATTTCTGCTTTTTTAGAGTATTTGGAGGTACTTTCTGCTTAAACAGATAATGCAAAAAAAAAACAAACAAACAAACAGACCTTTAATTGCAGGTAAAGCTCACTGCTTTTCAATTTTCATTCCTTTCAAAACTTCTCATGTTTGATCTTTTCACAGATGAATCTACAAACAAAAAACTACCAAATTCTTTTAACTTCAAGGTATGGCCCTACAGCTTAACATAAAATCTTAAGTGAGTTCTTTAACTTTGTGCTTTTTATGTGCCTTGTCATGTTCTGGTACTCTGTGGCATGTACTGGACTTAATGGGTTTTCTTGCTGCATAAATACGGGCTGATCTCATCCCACATGAGAATGTATTTTCAGCA